TAATACATTTATTTACGAAACTTATAAATCAAGTGGCTTTCCCTAATCTCTTCATTACTGTTTGAAACACATCTCCTCTCATAGATTGTTCATCCCATTTTGGACTCTGCGTATTTATTCATCCTTACCTCTTCTTGATGTATGTTTTATTACTTGATAAAGACCTTCAAATATTGGCGTGGGCTTGCGCGATCAGCGCTGTACCGGATTTATCCAATATTGGAAAGATTGGCGCCAGGAGGGTGGAAGGAGGGTGGAAGAAGCAAACCGAAATTCTGGCTTGTAATGAAGACGGCGCTGTCGTACGATAGGTCTGCTTTATCCGCCTACACAATGCCCCATTGTTTGCACTATCGCAACTTCTCAGTAACATAGCTGTATACCACATTTTACTCATGGTTACTATAGATGTGGCCCCACAGGCTTTCCCGTTATGAGCGAGTCGACTTTTTAACGACTGGCGACTCTCCTGAGTGAGAATAAATATTATCACCTTCCCACAACATCCACTCCTTTCACTCTCCCCCCCCCCCCCCCCCTTCTTTCCCGAGTTGGGGAGATATCACGCCAGTCCAGGAAGCAGCCTGCAGACTGCGCTTTTCGGCTACTCATTCTCAACACATTCGAACGTGGAAGTAAACACATTGCATGAACGACGCCCAGTTTATTTGCATTCTAAATAATGTGGCTCCACCGTTGGAACCCAATCAATTTGATCATCAATCATTATTTGTTACGATTTCATGGTGAAAGTGTGTTCGTCGTGATGCCACAAAAGCGATCGATTCAAAGGGAGAAATAAGTCCTCGTATTTTTTTTTGCGGAAATACTCGCTCCTGTGCCGCTCTAGTGCGTAAAGTCAGAGCACCCGAGGCAGTGCGTAATACTTTACAACTGTCGTTGGCCATGAAATATTTGTGGGAAGTGGGTAAAATTGTGTACACCACAAAAGCATATTTAAACGCAACAAAATATCGCAATTGCAAAAAAAAAAAAAAATCAGTTTGCGAAAGCCGTTGCTTTTCACTTTCTCTCTCTCTCTCTCTCTCTTTTCGCGCCACTACAAAAATAGCGGCCGAGCAACGAAATTCTATCAAAACCTCGCTTCTTGGAGAAACGGCAACAGGCTATACAGTAGTGAATCTGACAGGAAGTTTGTGCAAATAATAGGCGACCATTGAATCTAGCCTTCTGCACAAATCATGCCCGGGATATTTCCATTTTCCTTCCACGCAATTAGAAGGCAAGACGCTGGGAGAATTCGTGTGCACTAACCTGCTGCTTCTAAAAGAAAGTACCAGATTTATGGTGCATATTAATTTAGATGTAAATAGTTTACTCAGTGTGCAAAAACATTCGCGGCATGAAGGATGACATGGAAGCATGGCGGAAAGCAGCTTGCTGGAAATAGAAGTCTCTATTGCATTGCACTGGTGTGAAAAATTATTCCATATTTTTGTTTTATTTCTGTGCGAAAATAAAAACAGCGTTTAGAAACCGAACACTGTGCGTTTTCAGGAGCGCCGAAAGGACATAAAAAACCGGGACAACCTGAACAATACGAGGCGCCTTGCGTCACTCAGCTTGTCCTGGTTCCTTGTTTGTTCGGAGCCTTTCAAAAGGGGATGAAAAATTATGAACCGAGTGACCCGACTTGCAACATTAGAGCAGTTCATTTCCATATACGATAGGCTGTCTTCAAGCGCCTTGCATAGTTCAGCTTGTACTGGTCCGTTTTTATTTTCGGTTCCTTTCAAAAAGAGAGCTCTAAGTTACTGAACCAGACTACCACATTCATAATCTACAGAAGCGGAGAAGTGGAAATGCGACAAAAGGAAAGATTCGCCCGCGTTATTTGAGGCCTATAGAAAAGCGGACTGGATAAAAGGGGGCCGAAATCTCTTTCAAGAAACACACAATCTTCTCTTCAATTCTGTCTAACAATTTGATGTGAAGGTGTACTTGGCTATGAGATTATTCGTTTAGGAATCAAGCGAAACTTTGTATCGGATCATAATACGTCTACGTCCACTCCCATTCGATGCTTATCATGTTTCGACTATATGCACATGGGGTGGTTTTCAGCGGTAGGTTTTTAATCTGACTGCCTGCCAGAGCGCGAGCCAGAAAGCACTACGGCCGCGGGCCGTCGCGCTCTTCTCCTTCTCCGTATGAATATACAATCAAAGACGCGGGCGGAGCCGTCAATCCTGCTGGTGTCGGGAACCAGTAAGTCTGACCCTTGAAATGCTGGCGTGACGCAAAACCCAGAGGCGTCTCGTTCGCCCACTTACGTTCTTCCCCAGCGACGGAGATAGTCGTTTACAGGGGATTATCTTCTGAACGGATCCAAGTTACTCGAGCAAGGTTGCATTCATCTCGCAAAGCCCAGCCACTAAGCAAAGGTAACGGAGGGTAATTCGAGAGGCGTGCAACCCTTGCCCGCTTGGCCCTCCCAACCGACCATTTGACCACATCTATTCTTGTGTTGGCAGTGGCGAAGTCAGTCTTCTCTTGAAACGTTACGAACTACACGCAGACAGTTTCAGAGGTAAGAACTATTTATTTACACAGTTGTAGGAAATAGCCTCGACCACAGTGGCGCGTAGCAAATAGTGTATGCATATGAAATTACCACGGCAGACAGTGCCGCATGCCCCTCCACCTTTTGTTCCATGTGCCGGCCGCCATAACGTATTACCGGAAGTAGGAATCAGGGCTATGTGCTACGTACTTACCTTTCATAATAAGATTCCTCTCGTTCATACTGGTTGTTTTTGTAAACACGATTGCAAAAGTATGTCCGCTTGAGTTATACTGTACATTCCGCGGCACTGTTAGAGCGAACAAGTACTCGCCGTCTGATTCTGTTTGTTGTTTCTTGTATAATCGAATCGCTGCTATTAATACTTCTAGTTCTGTGGATAGTGCTCATTTGGTGAACTAACCTAAAATAAACACTACCTGGTTGTGAATAACTATACAAACAAACCGCGAAAAAAAAAATAAAACCACCGACGCCGTGTTTTTGGTAAGAGTGGACCGAAAACACACTAATTATCGCAGCGGAACGAAAACCAACTATTTGACACCTGGGCTGAATATGTGGTTAAAAAAAGGAAGTCAAGGCAGCATGCATATAAGAGAGCCTTAGCAGATCGTGTTTTTGGTGAACGATTCTGGTATCTGCATTTCGCTCTGCCCCTTCTAAGCATACTTTGAAGTGCGTGTTTCGAGCGCCATTGGGCCTGCACCGGGGCTTCTTCAAACTTTCTGACAAAGAAGAAGGTTAGCAAATCATTTTCACGTGCGCGATTACGCCTAGGGTGCTCGCTTCAAAGCATACTTCGCAGCATTAGTGCGGCCCCCGAAACCAATCCCGAATATTGTTGCGGGAGTTCGAAGAGTTCGCTAAAGCGACAGATAGTTTGTTAAAATTCGGTATCCCCTAATTTTGTAAAATCGCTCTGAATTGAAAGCAATATTGAAAAGAGGAGATGGCGCAGGCTCTTGGAAAAATTCCTTGAACGTTGAAATTGCCGTGCTAAAAATCGTATGCACCTACTTATAACATGCTAAAGACTGTAATGTAAATCATTACGCCGCTCAGCAATGCGAGTCATGAAAAGAAAATACTTGTGTGGGCTAGCCTATTTTCTTTATATTTCACTCGTGACCGCCATTGCGGTCCGTAAAAATACAGTGCGAACTATCTAACATTTTGTAGTATATGTCGCGAATTGTTACATCAAGTTATAACCTAAAGCTAATTGCATTCGTTTTCCTCCGTTTATTTCAGATATTCGGACGTTCACGCGAGACTGAGATGGACGACATAACAAATGTCCCTACGTACACATCACGAAAACGCATGCGAGATGGAACGAAGAAAACGTATGTATGCAGCCGAAGCAGTCTTCGACGGACTCTCAATCTTACATTCTCCGAAAACGCTGATATGGTCGTGTTTGATGACTTACTGAAACCGGCGAAAACCACCTATAAATCCGACACCCTCGGAAGCCTAATGATCAGGTCGTGCGACGACTCCTTGAACCCGAACTTCGTTACACGGAGGAGAGATCGGGCTCGAGTGCCCCATGCACCGCGTGCAACGAGCTGCATGGTGAAGAGGACTCATGCACGATGGCTTCCGACTCATCACGTGAGCACACTCTAGTTGTCTGCGACCTTGCTGCTCTTTGGGAACTCATTCAGACTGCAGCGAAGCACAGAACAGTATGCCCAGAACCCAGCCTCGTCTTGGAGAAGGTGACGCCACGAGGTTTTGCGTCACGTCTGCATTTCAAGTGCAGTAACCACTCACTAGTTCTCGACACCAGCACGGTTCGCGGTTCCATCCGGGTCGTTGATTGTTTACTCACGGTAGCATATGCCTGCTCCGGAATGCTGGCAACACAGTTCGAGAAATTCTGCACATTTGGCGGGCTACGGTATTCGGCACGAACCCTGGAAAAGGCGCTAACGCGGATCGCACTGCTCAAGAGGTACTGAAGCTGGAAAGCCTATCAGGTGCGCAGCGGGAAGAAACGGAAGCCACTGAGCAGGACGGCTCCGCTTTGGCAGCAATCAACATCGAGACTGATGCGCGCCATGCCTGCCGCAAGAATTCTCATCATACGGACGTTGTCGCACTTGGTCAAAAGACTCACAAAGTAGTCGGAATCGTCCATGTGAGCAAGAAAGATGAAATTTCGTCCCAAAATCACGAGGCGCACGGAACAAGAGAGCTGTACAACTACTTTGACTCAAGGAACATCCGTGTTGTGGACCATGCACATGATCGGAACACAAGTGTAAATAAAATAATAAGAGAAAAGAACGGTCCAACCAATTCAAACGATCGGTGGCATGCTGCAAAAGGCCTAAAGAAAGGATTTCAGGCGATAGCGTCAGGTCCTAAAAAAAATGAGGGCAAAACCTGGCATATTGAACTGTCCGACAAGTGTCAGGCAGTTCGGAACCACGCCTACTACGCAATGGCCACCTGTGAGGGCAACGCATCGAAACTTCGTAAGTGCTTGATGAATTGCGTGAGGCACTTCAGCGGAGAACATCAGGAGTGCTGCGTGGATTCCCCTTGCAAAGAGAATGGACATGTCCCAACAACTCTACTGGTCAAGGATCCTGTGGCCTTGGAACTCCTGACACAATTCCTGAGATCAACGACATTGTACAAGAACGCAGAAGATTTTGTTCGGTCCAAAGATACGTTTTACGTCGAGTCTTTTAATAACACCAGTCTCATCTACCTGGACAAGAGGATACATTATCAAGATGCGACCTACGAAATGCGGCAGACCTTAGCCATGTTAGACTGGAACGAGCACGTTGGAAGAGGGCACACGTCTCTCTACCGCATAGAGGACTGCCGGCACCCGGACAGACAGGGAGGAAAAAAGAAGTACGTCAGGAAAACCTACAGGTAGATTAGCGCTATAGGCTGTTCTCATCTACAGCTCATTGTCTGCTTGTTTTCTTTCAGTTTTGTTCGAAAGATTGTGGAGCTGGTTCTCCTTGCGTCTTTCTCTCCTGATGCCACGTGATTGCAGATAAATAAAGCTAGCAGCTTAGGTATGCTTTTTCATTATTTAAATATAAGTTCTTGTTCATACCCCAATAACCCAGTTATTACATGTCAATAGTTTTTGGTCCCAATGCAGGATATTTAAAAACTGTTTCTTCTTTCCCAGCCTTCTCATGGACACCACTCACAGCCTTCTCGGGGGACAAGGCGACGACGTAGACCTGAGTTTTCTATTTTTTTAACGGTTGGAATTATAAGGCAAATAAACAGCGTTCATTCAACATCAATTTCGTTTCTTTCTTTCTGGGAGAGATTTCCGGTGTCAAAACGACCCCAGATACGGAGTCGAAAACTTGATCATCATCGAATGAGAGTGGACGTAGAAGCATAATGATCCGGTACAAAGTTTTGCTTGGTTTCTAAACGAATAATGCCGACGTCCAAGTATACCTTTATATCAAATTGCTAGACAGAATTGTAGAGAAGAATGTGCGTTTCTTTAAAAAAAGCATTACGGCCCCCTTCTATCCGGTCCGCTTTTCTATAGGCCTCAAATAACGCGGGCGAATCTTCCCTTTTGTCGCATTTCCACTTCTCCGCTTCCGTAACTTATGAATGTTGTAGGTTGGTCTAGTGGCTTCGAGCTCACGTTTTGAAAGGAATCGAAAATAAAAAAAACAACGGACCAGTACAAGCTGAACTATGCAAGACGCTTGAATACAGTCTGTCGTAATGAAAATTAACTGCTCTAATGTGGCAAGTCGGGTCAATCGGTTCATAATTTTTTATCCCCTTTTGAAAGGCTCCGGAAAAACAAGAAACCAAGAAAAGCTGAGTGAGGCAAGGCGCCTCGTATTGTTCAGGTTGTCCCGGTTTTTTATGTCCTTTCGGCACTCCTGAAAACGCACAGTGTTCGGTTTCTAAACGCTGTTTTTATTTTCGCACAGAAATAAAACAAAAATATGGAAAAATTTTTAACACCAGTGCAATGCAATAGAGACTTTTATTTCCAGCAAGCTGCTTTCCGCCATGCTTCCATGTCATCCTCCATGCCTCGAATGTTTTTGCACACTGATTAAACTATTTACATCTAAATTAACATGCACTATAAATATGGTACTTTCTTTCAGGAGCGGCATGTTAGGGCACACGAATTCTCCCTGCGTCTTGCCATCTAATTGCGTGGAAGGAAAATGGAAATATCCCGGGCATGATTTGTGCAGAAGGCTAGATTCAATGGTCGCCTATTATTTGTACAAACTCCCTGTCAGATTCACTACTGTATAGCCTGTTGCCGTTTCTCCGAGAAGCGAGGTTTTGATAGAATTTTGTTGCTCGGCCGCTATTTTTGTAGTGGCGCGAAAAGAGAGAGAGAGAGAGAGAGAAAGTGAAAAGCAACAAATTTCGCAAACTGATTTTTTTTTTTTTTGCAATTGCGATATTTTGTTGCGTTTAAATATGCTTTTGTGGTGTACACAATTTTACCCACTTCTCACAAATATTTCATGGCCAACGACAGTTGTAAAGTATTACGCACTGCCTCGGGTGCTCTGACTTTACGCACTAGAGCGGCACAGGAGCGAGTATTTCCGCAAAAAAAATACGAGGACTTATTTCTCCCTTTGAATCGATCGCTTTTGTGGCATCACGACGAACACACATTCACCATGAAATCGTAACAAATAATGATTGATGATCAAATTGATTGGGTTCCAACGGTGGAGCCACATTATTTAGAATGCCAATAAACTGGGCGTCGTTCATGCAATGTGTTTACTTCCACGTTCGAATGTGTTGAGAATGAGTAGCCGAAAAGCGCAGTCTGCAGGCTGCTTCCTGGAGTGGCGTGATATCTCCCCAAGTCGGGAAAGGGGGGGGGGGGGGGAGAGAGGGGTGGATGTTGTGGAAAGGTGGTAATATTTATTCTTACTCAGGAGAGTCGCCGGTCGTTAACAAGTCGACTCGCTCATAACGGGAAAGCCTGTGGGTCCACCATGAGTAAAATGTGGTATACAGCTATGTTACTGAGAAGTTTCGATAGTGCAAACGATGGGGCGTTGTGGAGGCAAGTGAAGCAAAGACCTATCTTATGATTGTACCGTCTTCATTAGAAGCAAGAATTTCGGTTTGCTTCTGGAACCCCTCCTGACGCCAATCTTTCCAATTTTGAATAAATCCAGGACAGCGTTGATCGCGCAAGCCCGCGCCAATATTTAAAGGTCCTTTTCAAGTTATCACGCAGTCGTCAAGCAGAGGTAAGGACGAATAAATACGCAAGAGTTCAAAATGGGATGAACAATTACCTATGAGAGGAGATGTGTTTCAAACAGTAATGAAGAGATTAGGGAAAGCCACTTGATTTATAAGTTTCAAAAATAAATGTATTATCGACGACCTGAACCCTTTATTGCGCAAGCCAATCCTTGTGCAGACACGGGAATGGTTCCAGCAGCCGCGCGATGCTAGAGACCGGCTGCTGGAACGAACCCAGCATACCACGACCCCTCGATCTCCACCGACCGAGCGGCCTCGGACCTGCAGCTCAAGGGAAAAAGAGTTCGCTCGCGCTGGCTCCCTCAATCTCGCGGAATGAGCGTGCCCGCGTCAACGAGGGAAGACACCTGGACGTCTCAAGGTCGTTGTGGCGCTCGCAGCTAGCCGCTCCTTTCACGGTTTCGAGGATTATCCCTACAGAAGAAGCCGACACAAAAGAAGCCCCTGCCGTCACGTGATTTTCGGGAGAGGGTGAAAAGAGGAGGGCGCGAGGGCCATTTTCCTACCTTGCGGAAAATGGTTTCGTTGGTCGGTCCTTAAGTGAACCGAAAAGGGCATGCATCTATTGTCCCACAGAGCGGGGCATTGCTCCGCGAGCGCGACGAAGTAAAATGTTCCATCGTCGCACCATGCCGCCATCGTTGCACAACAAAAGCTTGGCGCCAAAAGAACACGAATCTGGATTTGGATTCCAATCTAAACAACAAAAGTCAGCTTGTTGCCAGACTTAGCACTTTAATTTTACTAAAAACGCCGCGGTCCGCCGCCAAGGTCCGGGCGAGAAAAGTCGCTTGGTATTTCTAACAAGCGCGGGCCGCGGACCGCCGGCGGACCTCGAAAACCGGTGACGTAAGATCACGTGATGCGCGGCCCGCGGACCAAAACAGCAATATGGTCCGTCGTGTGGATACAGCTTAACAGAACGATACATGGTGTCAAAAGTGGGATGATAATCACTGCACATCATGACTGATCTTCAGCCGCCAGAAACGCTGAGGTTGGGAGAGCATGCCGCTGAATACTGGAGAAAGTTCAAGCAGAGAATGGAGCTCTTTCTGTTGGCCACGGAACCCATCAAACCTCAGACTTAGCAGCAAAAGGCCGCTATCTTCTTGCATATCGCGGGGCAGGAGGCTATAGAAGTCTTCAATACTTTTGGAGTACCACCTGAGGCAGCCAAAAATTACGACAGTCCTGCAAGAAGATTTGAAGAGTACTGCCTCCCGAGATGTAATGAAATCTTAACGCCTTACGTATTCCGGACACGGCAACAGGAGGAACAAGAGCCATTCGAAACGTTCTACCGTGACATACAGCTGAAGGCGAGCACTTGCAGATTCGGCCAACTAACGGAGTCAATGCTGCGTGACCAGACCGTTTACGGAACCTCAAGTAGGAAGCTGCGAGAGAAGCTCCGGCGAAAGAAGGATTTAACCTTAAAAAAATGTGAAAGCCGTTTACAACTCCCTGTAACGCCGAATTGGAGCGCAGCTCTTGAGGAGGAGGAGGGAAGGTACTGGGGGGGGGGGGGTCAAGTGACCTTGGGAGGGGGTCACGTGACCTAGGGGGGTCGCGTGACGATGACGATGCCGTCATCAGTAACGATGACGATGCGGATACCGATGACGTCATCAGTGACGTCACTGATGACGTCATCAGTGATTATGACAATGACGATGCCGGTGACGTCATCAGTGATGATGACGATGACGATGCTGATGCCGGTGACGTCATCAGTGACGTCACTGATGACGTCATTAGCGATGATGACGATGACGATGCGGATGGTGATGATGACGATGACGATGCGGATGCCGGTGACGTCATCAGTGACGTCACTGATGACGTCATCAGTGATGATGACAATGACGATGCGGATGCCGGTGACGTCATCAGTGATGATGACGATGACGATGCGGATGCCGGTGACGTCATCTGTGATGATGACGCTGACGATGCGGATGCCGGTGACGTCATCAGTGATGATGACGATGACGATGCGGATGCCGGTGACGTCATCAGTGATGATGACGATGACGATAAGGATGCCGGTGACGTCATCAGTGACGTCTCTGATGACGTCATCAGTGATGATGACGATGACGATGCGGATGCCGGTGACGTCATCAGTGACGTCCCTGATGACGTCATCAGCGATGATGACGACGACGATGCGGATGGTGATGATGACGATGACGATGCGGATGCCAGTGACGTCATCAGTGATGATGACAATGACGATGCGGATGCCGGTGACGTCATCAGTGATGATGACGCTGACGATGCGGATGCCGGTGACGTCACTGATGACGTCATCATTGATGATGACGCTGACGATGCGGATGCCGGTGACGTCATCAGTGACGTCACTGATTACGTCATCGGGGGTCACGTGACCTCGGGGGTCACGTGACCCCGGGGGTCACGTGACTTGGGAAGCCACGCGACTGGGTGTCACGTGACCTTGGGGGTCACGTGACCCTGGGGGAGGGGCCACGTGACCTTGGGGTGACCTTGGGGAGTCACGTGACCTTGGGAGTCACGTGACCTTGGGCTGACCTTGGGGGTCAAGTGACCTTGGGATGACCTTGGTTACGCCGACGGCGACGGCGACGGCGACGCCGCTCAAGCCGGGAACGGGCCCCTAAGAGCTGCGCTCTAAAATGAAAGCCGTTTACCTCTGTAACGCCGGTTAGAGCGCAGCTCTTGAGGAGGAAGATGGAAGCGTACTGAGGGATAGGTGACTCCTTGAGGTCACGTGACCTCAAGGGGGTCATGTGACTTCAGGGGGTCATGTGACTTCAGGGGGTCACGTCACCTCAGGGGGTCACGTGACCTGAAGGGGGTCACGTGACCGAAGGGGGTCACGTGACTTCAGGGGGTCACGTGACTTCAGGGGGTCACGTAACCTCGGGGGATGACGTGACTTCTGGGGGTCACGTGACACCTTAGGTCCCGTGACTTCATTGGGTCACGTGACTTCAGGGGGTCACGTGACCT